GGAGAGCCTGGAGATAATAAAAGCGGAGTTTGGTAAGCTTCGTGGGTGGATTTAGGAAGGAGCAAGAAAGGATTATGAAATAGCCTGACTACTGGGAGATCTCTTATCAAGGACATTCAATGTGCTTGGCTCCTAATAGGACAACAGAGTGAGATTCAAAGCATTGGATTGGTGAGAACTGATAACTGGGAAGAGAACGCTTCATACCGCTTGGTTTTTCTTTCTTCTGTCTGGGCTGCTGAGCACAAAAAAAACAGGATGGAGAAAAGGCCCAACTTTCTTCCACAGGAACCTTTTTTTCCCGTGTAGATTCAGATTCTGAACTTCAATGGCAGCAAAATCTCTTTGGTGACTTGAAAGACCAGCTTCCAGCACTGGGGGGAACAGCTGGAGTTGCTTAATTCTGGTGGGGCCAACCCAGCCTAGAAGACCTGTAGGCTGAGGACATTGTAAGAACCCCAGCTTGGTGTTTTGTGACTATTTGATCAGTTGTATGTTATATCTTAGCTTTGTCCAGGTGCTGATAGTGATAGTGATCTTCAAATTAAACAAAAGTCTCAACTTTCTAGACCAGGGGTAGGCAATCTTGACTCTTTTATGACTCGTGGACTTCAAATCCCAGAATTCCTGAGCCGGCCATGCTGAGGGGAGAGGGAGAGGTTTCCAAGCTGAGCCGTGCTGGCTCAGGAATTCTGGGAGTTGAAGTCCACAAGTTATAAAAGAGCCAAGGTTGCCTACCCCTGGTCTAGACTCTAAAAGAGTACAGAGAAGAGCAACAAAGATGATCAGAGGACTGGAGGCTAAAGCATATAAGGAACGGCTGCTGGAATTGGGTATGTCTAGTTTAACGAAGAGAAGGACGAGGAGGGACATGATAGCAGTGTTCCAATATCTCAGGGGCTGCCCCAAAGAAGAGGGAGTCAAGCTATTCTCCAAAGCGCCTGAGGGCAGGACAAGAAGCAACAGATGGAAATTCATCAAGGAGAGAAGCAACCTAGAACTAAGGAGAAATTTCCTGACAGTGAGGACAATTAACCAGTGGAACAACCTGCCTCCAGAAGTTGTGAATGCTCCAGCACTGGAAGTTTTAAAGAAGAGACTGGACAGCCATTTGTCTGAAATGGTATAGGGTTTCCTGCCTGAGCAGGGGGTTGGACTAGATGACCTCCAAGGTCTGTTCCATCATCATCATCATCATCATCATCATCATCATCATCATCATCATCATCATCATCATCATCATCATCATCATCATCATCATCATCATCATTATTATTATTATTATTATTATTATTATTATTATTATTATTATTATTATTATTATTATTATTATCTTTTCCCATGTTTGCCCAGAAATTCTAACCACTTAAGAAGAAGAAGGTGTCACTTTGATTTTTTGCAACCCATTTTCTCCTTCCTTCAGCTACATCATCCTTAGTTTTCCTTCTGTTCCTGGCTGCCTTGTAAAAGTTCCTCTCTCACCCGTTTCACCTTCAGCAGCAAGATATGAGATTGTGTATCACTCCTTCTCCCATAAAAGATATGCAGTATATATTCTACACCCATGTTTCTCAACCTCCATAATTTGACATTTTAAATTTAAATTGTAAATGATGGCGTGGACTTCAATTCCCAGAATTCCCCAGCCAGCATGCTTAGAAGCCAATGAACCAATGGGGAAGCAGGCTTACTGGATGATCCATTGGCATGTTAACATTCCGCATCCTATCCCTTTTACGTATTTTTCAGAGCAGTATAACTCGGTTGGCGTGCACCAGTTTCCGTAAATGATGAGAATGACATTCACACACTGTTGAAGGTGGGGAAATGATGGAGAAAGCTGATTAACCAGGCAATGTTACAATTAGTGAAGGAGCTGTCAAACAATTATTCATAGCCAGTTGAAGACGGGTTGATTGTTCATCACCCAATGTCGTGAGAGGCCTGCAACCGAGTTGGGTTCTTTTCTTTTGTGCACAGGAAGTAACGAGAGACCAAAGAGGAATGTTACTTTTAGTGGCGGTAAGGATTGTCCCAGGAGAGACAGTTTAGTGTGGTGGTTAAGACATTAGCCTAGAAACCAGGAGACTGTGAATTCTAGTCCTGCCGTAGACACCAATCCAGAAAAGTGGCCTTGGGTTAGCCATTCTCTCTCAGCTCTAGGAAAAAAAGAGGTAAGCCACTTCTGAAATCTTGCCAAGAAAAAACTTCAGGGGTTATCCAGTCACCAGGAGTCAAGACTGACTTGAAGATATAGCCCTCCCCCAACACACAAACACACACAAAAAGTCCTCAATTTCGAAGTCACTGCCATCAAGAAGTCACACCATTCAAATTTTTAAAAAGGAGCACATTTGCAGCTTGTATACAACTTTGGTTATAAAGCAAAAGGTTCAGTGCCTCTTCTGTCATTACGTGAACAAAGAGCGATTATTGTGAAGGTGTTGGTGCTCTCTGAGTGTGGTTGTTTGCTTGCAGACATTTCATTACCTGACAAGGTAACGTAATTGCTCCCTGTTTATATGCAGTAGTTGGTCCTGGCGGTATTGATGCGGATGTGGTTTTCTCCTTGCTAGTTCCTTTATTAGGATAGTGTTTTCTGCTTATTTGTCTGGTGTTAATCCCCGCTTATCTGGGTAGAGACTGCTGGAGAGGATGTTTCTGGTCTTGTTGTTTCCTTCTTATTTATTTTTATTGATTTGTATCCCGCCTTTATTATTTTTTACAAAATAACTCAAGGTGGTGAACATATCCGACACACCTTCCTCTCCTTATTTTCCCCACAACAACATTCCTGTGAAGTGGATTTGGCTGAGAGACTGGCTCAAATTCTCCCACCCTGATTTCATGGCTAAGGCGGTACTAGAACTCACAGTCTCCTGGTGATTGGCCCAAAGTCACCCATCCTGCTTTCATGGCTAAGGCGGTACTAGAACTCACAGTCTCCTGGTGATTGGCCCAAAGTCACCCATCCTGCTTTCATGGCTAAGGCGGTACTAGAACTCACAGTCTCCTGGTGATTGGCCCAAAGTCACCCATCCTGCTTTCATGGCTAAGGCGGTACTAGAACTCAC